ATTTTTGGTTCGATGGCTCTTTTTATCTTCAAAAAAGGGGTGTCGCCATGGGAGCCAAGTTCGCTCCAAGTCTGGCCAACCTGTTTATGGCCAGATGGGAGGAGGATGTCGTTTATGCCAGAGATTGGCCGGAGTTATATTTTTACAAACGATATATTGACGACATCCTCCTTGTATGGAAAGGAGACGAACAAGCTTTGTTAAATTTTTTTGGGACACTCAATAATAATACCCTGAACATTAGGTTAACTTTTGAATATAGTAGGACCAAAAGTTAATTTCTTAGACTTGACATTAGTGAATTCTGACAATAGATTATAACTTCATCTTTTTTCAAATCAGTAGATAGGAATGGGTACATTCCTGTTAATAGTTGCCATCATCCTCTGTGGCTTTCAAATATACCGAAGGGGCAATTTCTTAGAATTAGGCGAAATTGTACCTCGGTAGATACTTACTTATCTCAAGCTGAGATTTTGAAAAGTAGATTTTTGGAAAAGGGATATGAGGAAACGCATCTTACTCAGACTATTCATAATGTAGCACATATGAATAGAGAAGCATTGTTGGCTAATAATATTTCACATAAGCCACCGAAAGTCTGCCCTTTTATAACTAAATTTTCCAGACAGTATAAAACTATTTCTAAAATAATAAATCAAAACTGGAAAATTCTAAAAGCAGATTCAGTCCTGACAAAAATCCTACCGGATAAACCCGAAATAATATATAGAAAGGCACAGACTCTGAGAAATCTTATTGCGCCGAATGTTATTAACCCTCCACAGTCTGTATCTTTATTTGGAGATATTAAAGGTTTTTTTTCCCATGTAACAGGTGCGTCATATGCACTTGTAATGGCAAAAGGAAACGAAAAATTGAGGATTTCACCTCTACTGTCACAGGAAAAACCTTTGGGATTAGGAATTTCATTTCTTGCAGTAGTAGATACGTTGTTTATCTCCTGCAGTGTCCCTGTAAGAAACAATATATTGGACGCACGACTAGGAAGCTTAAAGACAGACTTAGAGAGCATGTTAACAACGTGAAGAAAGCTTTTAAAGATCATTCACTTTCCATGCACTATAGAACACATCATAATAGGGATCCCTCGTCTTTGATGTTTGTGGGAATAGATGCAGTTCAACCGCACTGGAGGGGCACTAATAAGAAGAGAGCAGTGTCGCAGATGGAAACCAAGTGGATTTTCCAGATGGACTCTATGCGTCCTAAGGGGCTCAACATAGAGTTAGATTTGAATTGCTTCATAGATAATAGCTAATTATGATTGGTAGATACTAAATTTCCGTGTGCATATATTTTTCTGCGTTTATAATATGCCTATAAGGGCATCTTACTATTTATCTCTTGTTTCTGGTTTTGGCGAAGTCTATGTTTTTTCATATGTGTTTTCATATGTTTTTTATATGTTTTTTAGATATTTTAGATATTTTAACAATTTTAGATATTATAGTTTTAGGGTAACTCCTAGACTTATATGATGTTCTCGCATGTGTCTCATATGCATGTTTTGAGACATTTTATATTTTAAATGTATTGATTGTTATTATTTTGGAGCATATTACCATTATGTAGTTCATTATGTGTTTTTTGCTTACTACTGTGTTTGTGTATAGTAATATGGAAGAATATTCATATTGGATTTACGTTTTCAATATTAGGCTTTGAAGCTAGCTATATAATATGGGATTTTATGGTATTTTTTATGATAATTATATAACTTTACTGTATCCTTGAATAACCATTAGAAATTTATTGTCTTTTACATGATTGATTAAATAAATATTTTGTGTTACATTATAATCACCTATGGTATAGGTTGCCATCTATTTAAACATAGCTTGATTCAAGGACCTGGTTATTAAAGTCCGCCTCCTGTTCAGACTGTTTATCTGTTCAGAGTGTCCCTAATGGTTACACTCAGTACTATGTTTCCATGGCAACATTTCTCCCCTCGGTGATCATATACTGATGTCCTCCGCGCTCCGACGCTATGTTCGCGCATGCGCGGTTATACGGACTACGCCAAAATGGCGTCCGTTTTTGAGGACATCTGTCTCTGGGAAAATGGCGCACGGTAATCGATGCGTGCATTATCCCCTTTATTTAAAGGACAGAGCGGCGTCAGCAGCTGATGGCCGTAAACCCGTTGACAAAGAGCTATCGCTCGAAACGTGTCTGGGTCAGGCTTCAGCTGTTGACGCTTACACCGCCGCCGGCACCACGTGGGGTCCCGGCGGCAACTTCATTAGGGGTCAGTATCTCCATGTTCTTTTATCTATTGCATACCTTGTATTTACCATTGTGGTAATAAATGTACCTATAAGACGTACTGCACTATTGGCCTCCTTTGCTTTCTTCTGAGCTCCTGCGGGAGCCAGGTTGTCTTGGAGAGTGGTGGTCAGCTAAGGAGAAGGCCGTTCGCAAGGTGCTGAATAAAGAAGGGGACCTGACTAGATTTGACCAGACCCTGTGTGAGGGAATGGATGTCGTTCATGTTATTGTACAGAAAAGCGCATAAAGATTGCGCATCTGGTGAGTGCGTAATTTGTACCCCCAGTTTATCACCGTGCACACAGTCGGTGGTGCTTGGAGAGCAGTAGATTGTTTGAGAACCAACTCACATCCTCTCACTGAACTTTCCTTTGGATGTAACAATCCCTTCCTCATGTCCTATCAGACACAACGTAGTGACTTTTATGTATATGCACTATGTCACTTTGAATTTTTATATGTTTTCATATGATGTTACATATTTTAATACGTATTGTTGCCTATTTGTATATTAGCGCTGCACCTTTTCTACACATTGTCTACTGGGAGGTCTTATATGGTGCCTTTGGTGTACAGCTGCTGATTGTTCTTGGGAGGCGCTCGCTTATTTATATATTTTAAATAAATTACATTGTTTATAACATATCTGAAGTCTGCTTTTCCCTGCGTCAGTCACACACCTCTGGTCATACCCGGGAGCCCTGACAGTACCGTCAAATCTTGGGTGAGAACCTTACTCCCTCAGCCAGGGGATTGAAAATGGGTCATGGATGGGTGTTCCAGCATGACAATGACCCAAAACACATGGATAAGGCAACAAAGGAGTGGCTGAAAAAGAAGCACATTAAGGTCCTGGAGTGGCGTAGCCAGTCTACAGACTTTAATCCGATTGAAAATCTGTGGAGGGAGCTGAAAGTTCGAGTTGCCAAACGTCAGCCACCAAACCTTATTGACTTGAAGAGGATCTGCCAAGAGGAGTGGGCCAAATCCCTCCTGAGATGTGCGCAAACCTGGTGGCCAACCACAGGGAACATCTGGCCTCTGTGATTGCCAACAAAAGATTTGCCACCAAGTACTATGTCATGTTTTGTGAAGGGGATCAAATACTTATTTCCCTCATGAACATGCAAATCAGTGCATAATTTGTTAGACTTGCATTTCTTTTGAATTTTTTGTTGCTATTCTGTCTCTCAGTGTTACTCCTACCATTCGATTTTTAGACTGATCATTTCTTTGTGAGTGGGCAAACATTCAAAATCAGCAGGGGATCAAATACTTATTTCCTTCACTGTACAGCTGAACTCCAGAATACATAAAAACAATATTTAATTCAGTTACAAATACTCTTTAACTAATGAAATCATCCATAAAGTGGACCTTTCCCCCCCTTTTCAGTAGACACCACAGCACTAAGAAAGTGGAAAAATGTCAGTCATCTGCTGGGAGGGAATATAGGATTGACAAATTCATTACATGCAACACAAAATGTGTAACTTACCTTCTTTCTTGTCCCTGTGGATTAAAATATGTAGGGAGGACCACTAAGTGCTTATTTAAAAGAATCAATGAACACATCAATAAAATAAAGAAAGGATTTAAGCAGCATAGTGTATCCAAATAGGGATCTTTTGCTACTAACTTTTTGTGGTATTGACAGAGTTTTCAGACATTGGAGGGGTAGCGATATGTGGAAACAGGTGTCCCAGAATGAAATGAGATTGATCCTTGAGCTTGATACATTGGTTCCATCTGGTTTAAATATTGACATAGATTTAAACTGTTTGTTAACTAATTTTTAGAAGCAATTCATTTTCTAGTTTTTTATAATTTCTTTTGATAAAAATGTATTATGTTTTTTGGCCACAAGATGGCATTCCTAGTAATTATGTTTCTCGGGTGCAATCATTTTATCTTACCACTAGAGGGTCCTATTAGAAGCCTTTGTTTATTTGTAAAGGCTTTGAATAGATTAATTTGATTTGATTATTTTTATAGAACATATTTATGTTTTTTATATGTATTGGATATCTTATATTTTCTATCTTTATCCATTCTTGGCTCCTGGAGATCCTTTGGTATGGATATTGCACATATGAGTGTAGATGATACATTAGTTTGGACCATCTGTTATTTTAGTTGGATGGTAGAGGCAATATACACTATATTGCCAAAAGTATTGGGACTCCTGCCTTTACACACACGAGCTTTAGTGGCATCCCAATCTTAGTCTGTAGGGTTCAATACTGAGTTGGCCCACCCTTTGCAGCTAAAACAGCTTCAACTCTTCTGGGAAGGCTGTCCACAAAGTTTATGAGTGTGTCTATGGGAATGTTTGACCATTCTTCCAGAAGCGCATTTGCAAGTTCAGGCACTGATGTCAGACAAGAAGGCCTGGCTCACAGTCTCCACTTTAATTCATCCCAACGGTGCTCTATTGGGTTGAGATCAGGACTCTGTGCAGGCCAGCCAAGTTCCTCCACCCCAAACTTGCTCATCCATGTCTTTATGGACCTTGCTTTGTGCACTGGTGCGCAGTCATGTTGGAACAGTTAGGGGCCATCCCCAAACTGTTCCCAAAAAATTGGGAGCATGAAATTGTCCAAAATGTCTTGGTATGCTGAAACCTTAAGAGTTCCCTTCAGTGGAACTAAGGGGCCAAGCCCAACCCCTGAAAAACAACCCCACACCATAATCCTCCCTCTACCAAAGTTTACACTTGGCACAGTGCAGTCAGGCAAAAACTGTCCTACTGGCAACTGTCAAATCCAGACACCTCTGACAGATTACAAGACAGCAAGAAGAGCGATTCGTCACTTTGGAGAACACGTCTCCACTGCGCGGCGTGCTTTCCACCACTGCATCCGATGCTTTGCATTGCACTTGGTGATGTAAGGCTTGGATGCAGCTGCTCGGCCATGGAAACCCATTCCATGAAGCTCTCTACACACTGTTGTTGTGCTAATCTGAAGGCCACATGAAGTTTGGAGGTCTTTAGCTATGGACTCTGCAGACAGTTGGCGACTTCTGCACACTGTGTGCTTCAGCATGTGCTGACCCTGCTCTGTCATTTTACGTGGCCTACCACTTCGTGGCTGAGTTGCTGTTATTCCCAGTTGCTTCCACTTTGTTATAATACCACTAACTGTTGACTGTGGAATATTTAGTAGCAAGGAAGTTTCACGGATGGACTTATTGCACAGGTGACAACCTATCACAGTACCACGCTTGAATTCACTGATTTCACAATATTTTGTACACATGAACTATTGTTATGTTTGTTATTCTTCTATGCCAGTGGTCTCCAAACTGTGGCCCAGGGGCTGGATGTGGCCCTTTGCTTGCCTTTATCTGGCCCTTGGGACACTGTTCATCCCACTGAAAGGAGACACTCTTCTGCCCTCTGACACCAACAATGGGACATAATTCCTGCCACTGACATCACCAATGGAGCACTATTCCTCCTCCCCCTAATACCAAAGATGGGGCACTGTTTCCTTCCACCTGATACCAGGAAAATTTCTATTCTTGCTGGCCACAGTCCTGCCCCCCTAAATTCTAAAGGACAATAAATGGGCCCTTTGTTTAGAAAGTCTGGAGACCTATGTTCTATGCTATAGCAATTCATTGGAAATCACCAGACCCACCTACTCTTATCTTAATCACTGGTTTAGACTTAAAGATATATAATGATATACAGTATCTCACAGAAGTGAGTACACCGCTCACATTGTTGTAAATATTTTATTATATCTTTTCATGTGACAACACTGAAGAAATGACACTTTGCTACAATGTAAAGTAGCGAGTGTACAGCTTGTATAACAGTGTAAATTTGCTGTCCCCTCAAAATAACTCAACACACAGCCAATAATGTCTAAACCGCTGGCAACAAAAGTGAGTACACCCCTAAGTGAAAATGTCCAAATTGGGCTCAATTAGCCATTTTCTCTCCCTGGTGTCATGTGACTTGTTAGTGTTACAAGGTCTCAGATGTGAATGGGGAGCAGGTGAGTTGAATTTGGTGTTATCGCTCTCACTCTCTCATATTGGTCACTGGAAGTTCAACATGGCACCTTATGGTAAAGAACTCTCTGAGGATCTGAAAAAAAGAATCGTTGCTCTACATAAAGATGGCCCAGACTATAAGAAGATTGCCAAGACCCTGAAACTGAGCTGCAGCATGGTGGCCAAGACCATACAGCGATTAACAGGATAGGTTCCACTGAGAACAGGCCCCGCCATGGTCAACCAAAGAATTTGAGTGCACGTGCTCAGCGTCATATCCAGAGGTTGTCTTTGGGAAATAGACATATGAGTGCTGCCAGCATTGCTGCAGAGGTTGAAGGGGTGGGGGGTCAGCCTGTCAGTGCTCAGACCATACGCCGCACATTGCATCAAATTGGTCTGCATGGCTGTCATCCCAGAAGGAAGCCTCTTCTAAAGATGATGCACAAGAAAGCCTGCAAACAGTTTGCTGAAGACAAGCAGACTAAGGACATGGATTACTGGACCCATGTCCTGTGGTCTGATGAGACCAAGATAAACTTATTGGGCTTAGATGGTGTCAAGCGTGTGTGGTGGCAACCAGGTGAGGAGTACAAAGACAAGTGTGTCTTGCCTACAGTCAAGCATGGTGGTGGGAGTGTCATGGTCTGGGGCTGCAAGAGTGCTGCTGGCACTGGGGAGCTACAGTTCATTGAGGGAACCATGAATGCCAACATGTACTGAGACATACTGAAGCAGACCATGATCCCCTCCCTGCAGAGACTGGGCCACAGGGCAGTATTCCAACATGATAACGACCCCAAACACACCTCCAAAACAACCACTGCCTTGCTAAAGAAGCAGAGGGTAAAGGTGATGGACTGGCGAAGCATGTCTCCAGACCTAAACCCTATTGAGCATCTGTGGGGAATCCTCAAACAGAAGGTGGAGGAGCACAAGGTCTCTAACATCCACCAGCTCTGTGATGTCGTCATGGAGGAGTGGAAGAGGACTCCAGTGGCAACCTGTGAAGCTCTGGTGAACTCCATGCCCAGGAGGGTTAAGGCAGTGCTGGAAAATAATGGTGACCACACAAAATATTGACACTTTGGGCCAAATTTGGACATTGTCACTTAGGGGTCTGCTCACATTTGTTGCCAGAGGTTTAGACATTAATGACTGTGTGTTGAGTTATTTTGAGGGGACAGCAAATTTACACTGTTATACAAGCTGGACACTCACTACTTTACATTTCAGCAAAGTGTCATTTCTTCAGTGTTGTCACATGAAAAGATAGAATAAAATATTTACAAAAATGTGAGGGGTGTACTCACTTCTGTGAGATACTGTATATGATTAGCTGGGGTTTGTATGGAAATACTTTAAAGTAATGTATGGATGAAAGGATGAGTATTTGTTGAATGTTCTTTGTTTGTACGATTTGTATAAGTTTTTTTAATGTAAAATCAATAGAATGTGATTTTTTTTTTTTCCAAAGGATTTTTTTTTTCTAAATGTACAATACCCTCTAGTGGCAAGAGAGGGAATCCTAAATTTGTTGGGAACCAAGGCCAATGAATGTGTAAACAGCCATCAGTTTCAGCACTGAATTGGCGAAGGAGCTATTTTAACCTCTTCACGCTGGCCTCCCGGCATCTGGGCCTAGATGCCGAGTGGCTGCACATTTGCGTTCTATTAAAAAATAAAATGTGCTGAGAGCGTGCGCCCTGCGCGCTCCCAGCACACATGTCCAGTACTCACGGAAAGGTCCCGATCTCCTCTTTCGATTGGGACCTGCTCAGGTTGCGTGCTTCCCAGTGGTCACTACTCAGAAGTATCTTTGGACATCCTTCATCGTCTGATCATATGGTGCAATGTGCAAGCCATCCCAAGCATGCTGCTAAGCAAACATTTTTCCCCTTTACCAGGACCAGGCCCCATCTTTCTCCTTTATAGACAGACTGGCACTAGCAGACTTTGCATTCTCTCACTTTCACAGTAATGTATTGTGGTTAACCTAAGAGAAGTAGTGTGGTTACAGCTGCAACTAGTCATTTTTCATATTGCAGCTTATCACAAGGAAATGTTTGGAAGGATTGGATTTTCCAGGACACTTTAAGGGAGGAAACTGCAGTTTTTGGGGCACCATGCAACGAACACATACAAAGCATGCCTAAAGTCTGGGCGAAAAAAACCCAAAACATTTTCAGTACATCTATTAGTAGATCTATTCCAATGTCTGCACTATACAGTGTTTGTAAAATACCTGCTATCCTAACAAAATTACAGTGAGCTGACAATGTTGCCCCTACTACACTGAAATTCATACAGTATTGTCAGCCCTACATGAGTTATCTCCTACTTGGACGACAGAACACCTCCCCTCGCCTTCTCTTCATAATATATGAGAGAGCCTGGGCAGGGCTGCCAACACTGATTGGAAAATTCAATGTAGTAGAGATACCATTGTTGTTTGTAAAATCACAAGCAAATTTGATCAGACCTCTTAAAAATGGAACTTCACTTTCAATCAAAATTGACTATTTTAACCCTTATGCTACTAGCATTAATAAATACAGTCAGGTCCATAAATATTGGGACATCGACACAATTCTAACATTTTTGGCTCTATACACCACCACAATGGATTTGAAATGAAACAAACAAGATGTGCTTTAACTGCAGACTGTCAGCTTTAATTTTAGGGTATTTACATCCAAATCAGGTGAACGGTGTAGGAATTACAACAGTTTGCATATGTGCCTCCCACTTGTTAAGGGACCAAAAGTAATGGGACAGAATAATCATAAATCAAACTTTCACTTTTTAATACTTGGTTGCAAATCCTTTGCAGTCAATTACAGCCTGAAGTCTGGAACGCATAGACAACACCAGACGCTGGGTTTCATCCCTGGTGATGCTCTGCCAGGCCTCTACTGCAACTGTCTTCAGTTCCTGCTTGTTCTTGGGGCATTTTCCCTTCAGTTTTGTCTTCAGCAAGTGAAATGCATGCTCAGTCAGATTCAGGTCAGGTGATTGACTTGCATTGCAACATTCCACTTCTTTCCCTTAAAAAACTCTTTGGTTGCTTTTGCAGTATGCTTTGGGTCATTGTCCATCTGCACTGTGAAGCGGCGTCCAATGAGTTCTGAAACATTTGGCTGAATATGAGCAGATAATATTGCCCGAAACACTTCAGAATTCATCCGGCTGCTTTTGTCAGCAGTCACATCATCAATAAATACAAGAGAACCAGTTCCATTGGCAGACATACATGCCCACGCCATGACACTACCACCACCATGCTTCACAGATGAGGTGGTATGCTTAGATCATGAGCAGTTCCTTTCCTTCTCCATACTCTTCTCTTCCCATCACTCTGGTACAAGTTGATCTCGGGTCTCATCTGTCCATAGGATGTTGTTCCAGAACTGTGAAGGATTTTTTAGATGTCGATTGGCAAACTCTAATCTGGCCTTCCTGTTTTTGAGGCTCACCAATGGTTTCCATCTTGTGGTGAACCCTCTGTATTCACTCTGGTGAAGTCTTCTCTTGATTGTTGACTTTGACACACATACACCTACCTCCTGGAGAGTGTTCTTGATCTGACCAACTGTTGTGAAGGGTGTTTTCTTCACCAGGGAAAGAATTCTTCACTCATCCACCACAGTTGTTTTCCGTGGTCTTCCGGGTCTTTTGGTGTTGCTGAGCTCACCGGTGCGTTCCTTCTTTTTAAGACTGTTCCAATTAGTTGTTTTGGCCACGCCTAATGTTTTTGCTATCTCTCTGATGGGTTTGTTTTGTTTTTTAAGCCTAATGATGGCTTGCTTCACTGATAGTGACAGCTCTTTGGATCTCATCTTGAGAGTTGACAGCAACAGATTCCAAATGCAAATAGCACACTTGAAATGAACTCTGGACCTTTTATCTGCTCATTGTAATTGGGATAATGAGGGAATAACACACACCTGGCCATGGAACAGCTGAGAAGCCAATTGTCCCATTACTTTTGGTCTGTTAACAAGTGGGAGGCACATATGCAAACTGTTGTAATTCCTACACCGTTCACCTGATTTGGATGTAAATACCCTCAAATTAAAGCTGACAGTCTGCAGTTAAAGCACATCTTGTTCGTTTCATTTCAAATCCATTGTGGTGGTATATAGAGCCAAAAATGTTAGAATTGTGTCGATGTCCAAATATTTATGGACCTGACTGTAGATAGGAAAGTATATCATAACTTATTTTAAACTTTTTTTTACATTTCTTCAGTTACTTTCTGGTTTCCAGGCCTAGGTAAATTATGTCATACACCCCAGGAGTCTTCAGGAGGGTTATTCTCAGCTAAGTACACCCGCCTACCTGAGCTATGGGCAGATGAATTTCAGGAAGTAAATTAATCATCTGCCCTTACTTAAGATGGCCAGGGCCAGAAATGCTAGGGGGTGTTTTTCAAAGTGATTTCTCAGCAAAATAAAGCACAGAGACATGGATGGGTGGGTGAGTTTGCTCTGAATATTAAAAATGAATTAAATAGTGCTGCAATGTCGTTCAGGTTTAATAAGCCCCCTCCAGTGATTAGGCTGCAGATAAAATTATCATTTTCTTAGAAGTGTTCACCAAACTTCTCGGTAAACTTCCACTTTCTGCTCACAATACTGGCGCCTGTCAGACCCACCAACATCAAGGCAGAATTTTTTGACACAGAGATGGGTAAGGAGAAACAGCAGAACATATTGTTCATGGAAAATCATATGTGGTCTTTTGGAAGTATATTCTTGCACAAATACTGCCCTGATTGCCTTTTGTGTGTTGATTGGTAAACTGGTCATATATTAAAGCTACTTAGATTAGGTATTTGGTGAAAAATACACAAAAAAAGCTAGCCTATTATATGTAAAAAAAAAATTAGTCCTCGAAATCCCTCCACCACCCCTCGCCCCCATTCCCCCAATGACCATGTTCAGGAATTAATACACAACTCTCAGTCCCAAACATTGTCACATGGGGAAAATCATATGCTTCTCCATAGCCAGAAGCCAGTGAGGGAGTGTGGATGGGTGAGTATACCTTACGGGGGGGGGGGGGGGGGAATGAACTATCAGGTTGCACCGGCAATGTCTTAAGAAAGGTGGAATCTTTGCTTTACCATAACCTTATTGCTGCTCTTGATACAATTGCTGCAGCACAGCTTTCTTCCAATATATTTTTCACAAACACAAAAAAAAACATAAAAGACAAACTCTTTTCTTTCAGCCTTGCTTTATTTGAAGCACAGTCACAGCATTGTCATTGTCTAGTAAATTGAAGGCCCCTGAATGTTTACAGTATTACAAAGGTTGAGGGTCACAGCCACATGTCACAGAAGTACTGAAATAAATTAAGCATTTTATGTAGCCTGCTGCAGGGAGCTTCACCATACTGCATTGCATCATGATGCAACCTCCTCCAGCAGCCTATGGGTTAACTACACCTTTTTTTTTTTCCTTTCTAAAATTCTCAAAAATGTACAAATTTTAAACGCAGGTTAAAAAGTAAGGATTTAAAAGTCCTAATATATACAAATAATATAAAAACTACACAAGACATCAAAATTATGCTATAAAACAGTACAAAAGAAACTTAGTCTGTCCAAATTGTAAAATGCCTTTTTTTTCCACATGTAAAAACTGTTAAGAAATTGTACAGGCATATTGCTATTAAAACTAAAAAGAAATTAAAACTATTCTTTGGTAACCAAAATTTAGCATTTTTAGAATAAGAAAACAAACATTGGCATTCATTTTGTTGTATTTAGTCTTTCATGTCAGCATTCATTTTGTTGTATTTAGTCTTTTATGTCAGCATATTACAATGAATGTCAAGCATTAAAATATATGGTTACACAAACATCTTTGTAGTGCAAGTTACACAGTCTGAGAAAGGAAACAAGTGGAAAAAGTTGTGTTTATTAACAAAAATGCTAGCTTGCAACTACATAGACTAGCAATGCAGCAGAGTGCACCGCAGCTTACTGCAGCATCACGTAGGGTCCTGTACATTTGCAGCTTTATGTTTGCTGCAAAAATTCTGCATTGTAGATTTGCATTTTTTTCTAAGTCTTATGAAGTGGCAATATACGTCTATGGCTGATTGTATAATCAATGTTTTCTAGGCTGCATTTTTTTCTCTACATAAGTAAAACCTAGGCTTGTACCGCTGCACAGCAGCTGAAAATACTCGAGAGGTGACTCAACTGCGATATTAATAGAAATGAAAAATAAAACCAGAAAAGAAAAAGAGTACCAAAGAAATCATAAACCAGCAATTTGATTGGGTTAGTTTGACAAGCCCACTACCAGCCCACTAATTGCACTCAGTGTAATAAACTCTGGTTGATGTCCAGAGGAAATCATGCCAGCAGTGCATCTATGACCCATTATACCCTGTTTAGTAGATGTCACTATGTTTTAGAAACCTAAATATAGACAGCATACCCAACCCATTACCTCATGCCTGGATGCATGTTCTTCGGATCTTTCCTTGAGATGTGTTTAAAAGCTCCAATGCAGGCATTGGGGTTCTAAATCGCTTTCCCAACTTTGGTTTCACCGCTCTGTCTTGCAGGTGCTGCATACTAAATCAATCCCACTAAATGCTAACTCACAGAGGCTGCAATGTTAAAGCATTTACTATACAGACACCAAGTGCATGGCCATGTGCAACATTGCTTTTGTGATCATAGCATTTACTCTGCTTTTTAGGGATTTGCTTGATACATCTCATGACACGCTAGCTATTTTCTTACGACGAGTCATTGTCTTTGCTTGGGCTGACATCTGAAAGTCTACTCATCAAGTTTATGTGAACCCTGGGATTGGAACTGTCAGCACCAAAAGAGAAATTCAACTCAGAGTCCATTCTTTGAAACCTGTCCAGGCTCATTGTGTTCATAAGTGGTGCCTTTGTACAGCTATTTTCTACAGCATCAGCCATCTCTCCTTCCCCTTCACAAATCACTGTCATGGGACTGCTTTGAAGGCGGCTCCGGACATTGTATTTACTGCTGGCTGCAGATGGTGGTGTTCTGGAGCGACTGTACCTAGTCCCAGAAACTGACATGCTTCTTGGCATAATTCCCTCACTCTTGGCCCATTCCTCCTGAGCTCTTTTATTCTTGCTTGGAGAACTCAATGTTGGACTGTCTGGCAACTCCAGGGATGAATCTGATTGTGATCTTTGAAACCTCGGGTCAGTGTGCTTTAGCATTTCCGCAGCAGACATACGAGAGCCACACTCCGACCTGCTTCCCTTTTTTAGTAACAGGGCTTTGAAATTATCATTGCTGGTACTAGACTTTCGGATACTTCTTTGGATTGCCCCAGGCTGCTTAAAGGAGCTCACGTTTGGGACTCCTCCAGTTGGTGTGACCGGTGGAGAGGGCGAGTGATTTCTACAGCGATCATCATCAGAATCCTTGCGACCAAGAACCTTCCTTTTGGATCTAGAAGTAAAAAAGAAAAAAACATTGAATGGCCACAACAGAAAATGTATTTGCCATGAGGTAAGTCAACATGGGCATTATATTGTTTTCAGTGTTGACAGTGCAGTTCAATTTTAGAAAAGGTTATTATTTTTCTTTCATTTCCAACATTATCTTCAAATATTTTTTCTGCCATATTCTAATGCATTTGAATACCTGACTCCCTGATACATTACAATATGTAGCTGTCTAAGAGCAGGTCAGAGAACAGGAAAGCTACAGAGAAAAAAGATGGGTCCTTCAAAAATCCACTCCACCCTAATATATGGAATCCGCATGTGCCACAACGTATGCGCTCATTTCTTATAAATGTAACCTATTCATGGAGATTAACAAAGGTTTATAACCTCCCATAATTCTAAGCCATGTTGCACGATTTTATTCATCAGAAGTCAATTATTTTCTCAGTTTCTACAGGCGTCATGGAATATGAATGTCTGGATATAGGCTGTTTCTTTTGACTCTAAAAATCACATTTCTGTTGTAAAATTTCTATTACAAATAAAAAAACAAAAAAAAAAAACAAAGAAAGATTTAAAGTGGGATTCTCATTTATATTATAAATAAAGGGTGCAGCGCTTGAAGATAATCAAAATATAGCATACTTTTGATTATCTTGATTATCTTCATTTTAAGCGCTGCACCATTTATTTATATTGCTGTTTTGGAGGTTACTTGGTGCCTTTTGGTGTTTCAGCAGCTGTAGTGACTTCCAGCACTCACTTACCCTCTTGTGCTTTCTCATTTATATTGTTTTACTTATTTTTGTTATTAATATGCTGTAGTCCCTATGAGGTTGATTTACTAAAACTGGAGAGAGCCAATTCTGGTGCAGATATGAATGGTAGCCTAATCAGCTTCTCACTTCCACCTGTTTAAGCTGACAATAAAACCTGGAAACTGACTGGCTACCATGCACAGCTGCACCAGATTTTGTACTGTCCAGTTTTAGTAAGAGTTCATTCACACTTGTGCGACTGGCCATGCGACTTTGGGGTCCAAAGTCACATGGCCAGTAACACCTGTGTTTCCCAATGAGTACTATTCAAATCTGTGTGACTTCAAGCCACAGAGACTTGAAAGTAGTTCCTGCACTACTATGGTATGACTTTTGATAGTCTGGTGCTTGTAAAGTTGGATCAAAGTTACACCACAAGTCGCACTGGAAATTGCATGACTTTGGAGACATGCTAATGTGAATGAAGTGTTAATCCCTATATGTGCACGATTTGTACAGCACTAGATTTGTACAACAGCTGCCAGTCACACTTCTATCACAAGATGGCGCTATACTACACAGACAAATGCAAGTAAAAGAATATCTTCTACATTTACTTATGAGCTTAGACTCGAGTCACCAACAACAAAAAAAAAAAAAACCACACGCTTCTATCAAAAGTTAAGACATGAAATTTCAAAACCACTCATAGAGCCTTAAAAAGATACATACAATCATATCTCCCCTACCTGCTATTCTGCATTAAAACACATTTTGTTTTGAAACAAAGAAATGCCAGGCCATGCATATGAACTTTAAGTTCTGGTCACAGACTTTGCGGACCATAACGTCAACAGAAAAGTATAGGGGATTCGGCTGCTGTCCTCCTTGCCTGGCTGTCATGATGACCTTCTTCCCTAAAGGACTTCTAAATCACTGACCTAGAACAAGTATTAGAGAGCAGGAGTTCTGGTTTTACTTGCTGCATGTTTATTTAAATAAAATCTTTGACTTTGCAATCAAACATGATATACTAACCTGCATGTGCAATGGATTTGCATACAATGGCCCCAATCCTATTCTTCTTGGGTTCCCCTCAAGCACTCCTGGCTCCTTCTCCTACTACTACCCTAAACATTTTTTTACCATAATGGCATGCATTACAGTAACAAATGTTTAGGCTTCAGAACCACGGTCTTTGAGTTTAAGTGCTGATGCTAGAGCCAATCGAGTAACCAGTATTTTCAGAAGAAGGTAAGCCATTGCCTTCTCTTGAGGTGTGCACTTTACCTCACAGTTGGAGCAATATATTACTTAAAAGGGTAGTAAACCACATTAAAAAAATGGGTCCCCCCACAAGTTCATGTCCTATTGTGCTAGTGTGCACTGCAATCTAGTACATTTTGACAGACTAACTCATACAGCAGATCCCCCAGCGGCATGCTTTACTTGGTCTTTCTTCCGGGTTCGCGGGCTCTAGCCATTCAAATGGCCGAGCTGCGATGACGTCAATCCTGTGCATGCCATCCATTGAGAGGGCAGCGCGCATGCGCTGATGACATCACTGGCTGCTACAAATGTAAATATCTCATAAACGGTGCACATTTGGAAGATATTTACTGTACCTACTGGTAAGCCTTATCATAGGCTTACCAGTAGGCAGGGGTGGATTCATGGGGCCCCCGGGCAATAGGGGATCATGGGCCCGTGTCCCTACCCAAACTCAAAAAAGCCTATGAAAAAGGTACCAGGGGCATCTCATGGGGCCCCCTACTGACCCCGATCCCCGAGTTTCCAAATGGTCAGTCTGCCCCTGCATGGGAGTTTACTACCCCTCTAAACAGTGTATTTGATTACTAAAGATTTTTAATAATTTCATGCTAAAGACTGCAGGAGTCCAAAAGGCATAAACTCAGTGGAACTCTCTATATGATTATCACCTAACATCACAGGGTAATCAATATCTAATTCTTTGAAAACCATGAAGGAAAATTGATATGCAGTGTTAAGCAATGATTAACTAGCTATATATGAATCCCACCTAAATTTACCAACAATTTTAATGCAAGTCTCATACAAACATGTCGAGCTGTCCACTGTTCTTATGAGATTGACTTTTAATGTAAAACAAAATAAAAAAAAACATGCGTACAATAGGTTACTGGTTTTCGCTCTGGTCAACTGGTAATCAAGTATTCTTAATATATTATTTCCTGCCATAAAAATGCATTTGATTGTGGTTTGGAAGACAATATATATATATATATATATATATATATATATATATATATATATGTATAGTGCTCAGCATAATTGAGTACACCTCTTTTGAAGTAAGCAAGATTTTAATCAATGAACTAGTGGTGCACCGAAATGAAAATTCTGGTGCCGAACCTGAAAATTCAAAACGCGCTTTTTTAAAAACAATTAATATATAGGTTTTGGAAAAAATACACTTTGATTAAAAAGAATATATACCCCAATTTCTAATAAAATACGAAAGAGGATGCTACGGCGAGTAAATAGATACCCAACATGTCAAGCTTTAACATTGTGCACGCTCGTGGAATGGCGTGAAACTGCGGTACTTAAAAATCTTCATGGGTGATGCTTAAAAAATTTCTATTAGGTTAGTGTAAAGTTACAGAGGAGTTCTAGTGCGAGAATTATTGATCTTTCTTTGATGTTTGTGGCGATACCTCACATGTGTGGTTTGAACACCATTTACATATGTGGGCATGGCCTATGTATGCGTTCACCACTATGTGTGAGCACGGGGGGATGGGGCACTTTAAACTTTTTAAAAAAAATGTATTTAATGTTTGTTTGTTTTTTTTGCACTATTCCTTTTTAATCACTTTTATTCTTATCACAAGAAATGCATGCATCCCTTGTGATAGAATTAATTAGTGACAGGTCCTCTTTATGGAGAGATATGGGGTCAATAAGACCCCACATCTCTCCTGTGCAATGTAAAGCATTAGATAAAATTAAACATTGATCTAGTGCTTTAAAAAAAAAAAAAAAAAATGGCCAGAACAGGAAGTGACATCGCTCCGGTCCTCCAAGGGCATAGAGATGTGTGGCAGCCATCTTTCCTTCACTCATCTCTATGCCCAGCGCTGGGATCAATGGTTTCTCAGGTAAGGCTGAGCTACCGAGTGGCGGCTGGTGGCGAGGGGTGGGGTTTTTTCGGCACCTTTATCTTATTTATCTTATGCTTATTTTCATTTCAGCTGACGGCTGAAAGTGGTGTTTTTTTGGCCAAAACGTTTTGGCCACCGAAATTTCGGTGCATCCCTACAAAGAACACAAGAACAATTTCCAAAATTTTGATAAAACTGAGTTTTTATAGAATATTTTTTAGCTCATCACATGAGTAAGGTTAATAATATAAAACAGATTATAAAATGTTTAGTTTTACTCAAATTAGTTGATGCAAAAATGAATACACCCCACAACAAAAAAACTACTCCATCTAGTATTTTGTATGACCTCCATGATGATATGTAAGAGCAGCACCAAGTCTTCTAGGCATGGAATGAAGAAGTTGGCGACACACTGCAACATCGTTCTTTTTGCATTCTTCAAGAATGACCTAATTTAGAGTCTGGATACTGGATGGAGAGTGATGCTCAACTTGTCTCTTCAGAATGCCCCATAGGTGATCGATTGGTTTCAGATCAGGAGACATACTTGGCCACTGAATCACTTTTTCCCTGTTCTTCAGAAATGCAACAGTGGCCTTAGATGTGTCTTTTGGATCATTGTCATGTTGGAAAAGTGCATGACGACCAAGGGCACGGAGTGATGGTAGCATCTTCTCTTTCAATATAGAGCAGTAAATCTGTGAATTCATAATACCATCAATGAAATGCAGCTCCCTGACACCAGCAGCACTCATGCAGCCCCACAGAACGACACTGCCGCCACCATGTTTCACTGTAGGCACCATGCATTTTTCTTTGTACCCCTCACCTTTGCAACACCATACAGTTTTGAAGCCATCAGTTCCAAAAACATATATCTTGGTCTCATCACTCCAGAGTACAGAGTCCCAGTAGTCCTCTTCTTTTTCAGCATGGACCCAGGCAAATTCTAGGCGGGCTTTTTTGTGCATGGGCTTTAGGAGAGGCTTCCTTCATGAACGACATCCATGCACGCCATTCCTCTGCAGTGTACGCTGTATTGTGACATGGGAAACAATCACCTCAGTTTTGGCTTTATACTTCTTTCGTTAACT